GAATTCTTATTGACATTGTGGCATTGTGGCCAGACTCCCTTGGCGTGACATTGTGGCCAGCACTCGGCAATGTCAGCATGGAGCAATTACTGAGCCCCAAAGGGATTCTTCCGCTGATTTGGTTATAGCTGAGTTCAAGCACAGCAAAAGATGGTGCGCTGGCACAGAATGATGCCTTCCTAGGAACAGCAGTCTGTACTATTATGCCATGATGCAGTGAGGCCGATGTCCTGGGATAGCCTGGCGAGGAACCGGAGTAGGGAGCGCATTTCCTGCTCGGTGCAATGAGCCGGCTGGAGAGACGAAAGACAGCAGAAGCAGCACAAGAACAGGGCCATAGGAAAGCATCCTGCTGCATGAGGAATGCGGTCTTGGTCTCATGGTTCTTGTGGACACTATCACGGAATAGTGTGCTTGATTCAGCAAGATAAACAGGTAATGCTATTATGTGTGAAACCATGTTTGTTAGGTTTATAGAGCTAGAGACCCATTGTTGTTGGCTTGTCACCATGTGCTTAGCTGCTTCTAATGTTCTAAATCACTGGCTTGGTGTGGTGCTTATTTCTGTAAAGTACGCATTCTCTTGATTCTTTAACCAGCCTGATCTGTTAGGTTAGGTAGCTGCTCGCCTTGTTTGACAGAACTTAATGATTGTGCACTTGCACTTGAGAAACTATGCTACTTGAAGGGATTATTTAAAACCTATTTCTTAAGTGCTAACGTAGAGCAGTAGGCCAACCTATTTCTTAACCCACTTCTTTCATTTTATACTTTTGTGTTTCTCTTTGATGAATAATGCTCACCTGTTATCTGTTCATGTTGTAGCGAGTCAATGTTAATGTGGACTTCTTTTCTATGTCAGTTTTCAAGTTCTATGCACTGTTTTTTTTTTCTGTTTCAACTTGCTAAATTCTAGGACATTTCAGAAATATGCATGCTGTGTTTCAAAGTCTTTGTTGTAAATCAAGTTTTCATTGTCAGGTTTCAAGTTCTAACTCAATTAGAATTACAAGTACTGCAGTCTGGATTTCCCGTTCACATAAATTTTGTTTCTTTTTACGCAAATACAAGTCTGCTTAGTTTTATGTTTTTCTTTTTCTTGACTGCACAAAAGAAAATCCTACAGACCAGCACTTAAAAGATTTTTCCTCATTAATCTATATAAGTTTTATTAAACAAATTGGATTGTCAAACAGCATGTACTTTGTTGCTCTGTCTCTTTCTAATTGGGTGCTACATATTGACTTTACCAAAAATCAATATGAGAATATGTTTCCCATCTTCTATGCGCACAAAACCAAAGATACTTGTAATTCTACTTTAGTAACACATGTTATATGCTACTTCCTCCGTTTCACAATATAAGACTTTCTAGCATTGCCCACAATTATTTAGATGTTAATAAATCTAGACATATATATGTGTTTAGATTCATTAATATCTATATATATGAGGGCAATGCTAGAAAGTCTTACATTATGAAACGGATGGAGTACTATTAATCTTCCTGTAAAACAGTTTTGCCCTAGCTTTTAGTACGTGTTACAATCTATCCGTGTAACACATGTTTTGTGCTACTGCAATATTTCTCTGTAACACATATTACAGGTTTGTGCTACTACAGCTCTGTCCTGTACTAGTGGATGTAGAGGAATTCTACATTACTATGCATTAGAAACAAGAAAACAAAAGAAGAGGTGGAAAATAACGAATGTATATGGACCAGTTTAGAATGATAGGAAAGATAATTTTACACAGGACATGTTGAAAATATAGGGTCAAATTTGTAGTTAGACTTTAAAATAGGGTTAAAGAGCAATTGTCCCAAGTAAGAAATATGACTTTTCCGTGCTTGAAGGTGCATTTAATGACGCGTGGACCCAATACGTGAAAAAAGGGGACAAGCATAAGGAAGGAATCACCAACTTCTATCACCACCAAGACTTCCTATGCCGTCAACAAGTTGGTCACACTTGTGGTTTCCACGTGTGCCATAGCGTGAAGACTTTGCTAAATAAGGTGACATTGCTAGATGTTGAGGTTTGTGCTCATGTGTACTCAATTATAAAAATAAAAGCTAGTAGTTCAATTGTGTGTATATATATGTACATACTGACTTGGCACTTCACTTGCAGGCTAGGATTAACAACATTCCGCCGCACAACTTCGCGCACATTAGGGAGGAAATAGCTGCCTTCATACTTGCGAAAATCATATCTTCAAAAGGAAGCTTTGTTTCAAAGTAGCCCATCCAAAAATTGTTGAACATTTATCAATTCTTATAAAAAACATGTGATTATGTGATATTTATGTATATATTATATGTAATACAATATCTGATTCTTTTGTATACATTTGCATTGTTAATTACATTACTTGTTCCAAATTATAACTCGGTTCGACCATTTGGTGAAATGGATGTGATTGTGAAATGCATGTATATGTATTTGTGAATTTATGGATGTATAGCATGTGAATATATTTGTGAAATGTTGGGAATGCTGGGATGTTGGGGATGCTGAGAATGTTGGTAATGGTAATATATATCTGTGTTTCAGTTTTTTTTTTTTTTTTTTTTGCAGTGGACATGGCTAGCAAAAAATAAATTTATTTTTTTGGTAATTACTCATCGGTGACAGGTTAAAAAAAATCAATGTCACCAGCGTGCATCAATGTCGGGTCAAAAATAGAAGCCGTCACCGATGAGTTATTCGTGATGGGTTCTAGTTTGACTTCTTTGACTAGTCAAACCTATCGTTGACTATCTTTTGTATCGGCCCAACACAGATCACTCTCATCGGTGACGACTGCCGTCCCGATACAAATAACTTTTCACATCACTGATCAATAATCCGTGATGCAGCTTCTCACCGACACAAATAAAGGTTCCTGCCTGAGACAGATGTCTTGTTCCGCAGTAGTGTGATTTTCCCTGCTTGCGGACTAACTATTCATAGCATGGATTCGTGTCCATTGCATAGCACTAAGACAATGCATTTTTTCCTCTCGCAGGAAATAGAGCTACTGATAGCCTTGCAGTAACGTGCTTTTGTTCTTCCACTTATGGAGAATTCTGATTTTTGGGACTCTTAGGTTCTCGTTGGCACATCAAAAAAATTTTGGAGCTGGGTATTCTTAACTTCATAAATACATGGATCTAGATCCATGATGACGTTGATAACATTTAGAAAAATCATTTTGTTCTCATGTTGGATGAAATTTAAAATTTTGAACCACTATAATTCAGTATATAAACTTTAAATTTAATATGGATTTGAGATCTGGAGCGGTGCTAAATAGGACCTTTCGTTATGCAAAGGAGGATATAATGCCGAAATTGGGAATGCAATGAGTGATTTATTCAACATTAGTAACGGAAGGTGAGGGAGACCAACGTAGGGTTACATATTAAATTATATCGTCCATCGTATATATATATTTAGAACAATAGACTATTCATACAACCCCACCTATCATGGTCCAAGTTATATAAAACCACAAAAAAAATTGGTACGTGGCAAATTACCCTAGTAGTATTGTATTAAAGTTTCATAAAACCACGCCGTAAACCAATTTGACATATTCCTATATCAAAATTTTAAAAGACTATATTTACATGAATGTAACGGTTATATGGTGGATAAATAAGTCATAAATTCGATATGTTATTATGGAATTCAAAAGTGTGGAAAATCAATGTCAAAATAGTCAATAATGTGATTTTATAAAACTTTATGATCACAATATATGGTGCTATGTGCCACGTACCAAAAGCTCTATGGTTCTGTATAACTTGGACCATATAACGCTTACGGTTAGCTGAAATTTACCCAACATTATATTTTCCTACTTGCAAGAACTCCCGTTAATAAAAAGCACTTCACACTGCCACATAACTCCTCACCTGTGATGGTCATAATTATCCCCATATGTGACTGGTATGGCGACCGTCACAGACAATGGGTCATTGATGAGGACGGCTCCTCGGCTGCTGGTTCTCTATCCTCATTTGGAACAAGTGATAGGTTCATATAATTTTTTTCTCCAACAAAATCCCATTACCCCAAAGTATGCTCTTTAAGATTATTATGTTATCAGAGTTAGCGCTTGATTTACCTCCACCGGGCATTGATCGACTCCTGGTCTCCTCCGGGCTCCATTGAGCGCATGAGCAGCGCGCTCAGCATATAAACACATAATCAATTATGCTCTTGAATGACTTGGCCTTAATATTGAACAGAAGTGTTATTTTCTAAACTTCAATGACAATTTCAGCACATAAACACATAACCAGTATTGGATTGTAGTGGTTTTAGTTTAGGCTTACATATTTGATTATAATGGTTTTCAGTCAAGCTTGTTCACTGCCCAGGCTTTACAAAATTCCTGGCTCGGCCACTGATTGGAGTCTTGGTGACGATGCTCCTGTAATACTTCCCCATTCTGTATCTGCTGGATTAACACAGTTGGCTGTTCAAAAAGATCCATCTTCTCAAGATGAGTGAGGTTCTCAATACCTTGGGGTATTTCAGTTAGCTGAACGCATCGGCCAAGCATCAGCTCACGTAGATCCACAAGACTCCCTTTCTGAAACTCTAGGTGAGAAAGATTAGGCAGGCCATGCAAGCTTAGTTTCTTAAGCGCTGGAAAAGAACCATCTATAAAGGTCAAGCTCCTCCCGTTGTATGCATTGATGAGGCTTAGATGTAATAGTCTGGGGAGATAAGAGAGTAGTCCAATAGAATCTTCCTTGAGATCAGATGAATGCAGCTGCAACTGCATGAGGTTATTAAGGGAGCCAAACAATGAAGGTAAATTACCTCTTACTAACCTACCTTGTAAATTAAGTTTCTGTAGCTTAGACGGTGTAGGATTAAATGGTTCCATGTCCAATTCAACATTGGCATCCCTAGTGATAATTCCCAAGCGCAGAAGGCAGCTCATTTTGGAGATGGATGATGGCAAATGAAGAAGATTGCTGTCATCCACACCGGATAGCTCTAAGCTTCTCATCTGCTTCAAGCGAATTTTTTTGAGAATTAATATTATTTTTATGGAAAATAGCAAAAGTAGTGGTCAACCGGGGAAAATCGCGAAAGTAGGTCCCTGTCGAACGGGTGCAGTTCGATAGGGCGCCTATCGAACGGCCAGAGCGCGACTGGCGAGGAGATCGGAAGGCTGCCGTTCGACAGGACCTGTCGAACAGCCCCCGTTCGACAGGCAGGGCTGTCGAACTGCCCCTGTTCGACAGGAGGGCTGTCGAACCGTCGAACTGGCGCAGTTCGCAGTTCGACAGGGTCGCGTTCTCCATTTATTTGTAATAAGTTATTTTTTTTAATAATATGTAATTTATTTTAGTGTGTAAGAAAGGAAAATATTTTTGTAATGTTATATGTATATGATTTAGGGTTTTGATAATGTTTGGTCAGAAATTGTAGTATTTATTTGTTGGTTAAAATATTTGAATTATTTAGTTTCATTATTTGTATATTTGAATGATAATTTGTCATGATTCATTCGAAGGGTATCCTACTGAGTAATTATCCGAAGAAGTTTATGAAATAGTACTGATAGTACTAAGTTAATCGTAAAGTGTTTCTCAAATAGTACGGACAGAACATAAATGACTAAAAGTTTAATACAAATAGATAAGTCAAGGACGATCAGTGCCCTTCGCACGCTTGCTAGGTCCTCCCTTCTTCCTACGCCTAATCTGCTCAGTGGGATATGTCAAATTATCAGGGGGGTGCCTATCTCTAGCTGCCTGCTGTGGTGTCACGTCTGACCCCTGACCGGCCTCCGTCTCCTGCGTCGGCTGTGTGACCTGAGGTGCTGCGTGCCAGTAATCCATCCCTACTTCCCCCTGGGGAGGATCAGTGGAAAAGAAGTCCTCAATGAATGCTGTGCGAGGGGAGTAAGCAGGCATTCCGTGATGCGTCGACGCCGAACCGTACTCATCGTCTGTTTGCACAAAGGGAGAAACCAAAAAATATGGCGTAGTTAGTAACGATACATATAATTAGAAACTAAAGCGTGTTATTGTTTAAAATGACTTACATGTGTGCTGTGTGTGGCCCTGCTCTGGCGCACGCGGAGTGATATGAAGTCCCTATGCTGGTGTGTTCAACACGTTGTCCCCCGTTGGCATGTAAGGGAAGTGTGCCGACCCAGATGCTCCCTGCGAGGGGTGAACATAAGGCGGAGTTTGGAATACCTGCGGACGTGGTGGTGCCGTGCTCGACGTGGGTACCCCTGATCCGGCTGACCCCCTGGTGTACTCCGGTGCTGGGGTGTGCTGAAAGGAAGGACGACAGTGAGATGTGTGGGCCGCTTCGTACCCGCGACGTGAAGAGGATGGACCACTCCGATCCAAGCTGGAACGTCGGGATAGTGGTGGTGATGGCCGTCGGCCCGACGTCTGCACCACATCTGCCGCGCTCCGACAGGAGACACGACGTAGTAGTGCGGCAGCACGTGCACGGAAGTTGCGAAGGATGCTCGCCACGTCGTCAGGCCTGACGACTGGAGGTCTCGCCTCTAGTCTTTGCAGCAGGGTGTCGGACTCCACGTGAACGTGCTCAACAAATTCCGCCTGTTCCACAAATAATCAAGGCAATTAAAATTATTTAACCAGTTGCACATTTATTAAGAGTATTTAACAAGATGCACATTTGTTAGAAATAATGAACCAGTTGCACATCATTTATAAATACTGAACTAGTTCCACATTTATGTAAGAAAAGGAACTAGTTGAACCAATTGCACATTTATTAGACATACTGAACTACTTGCTAAGTTTTTAAAAATATTGAACTAGTTGCTCAAATTCCACAAATAAACACGTACCATTGAGTTGTAAGCTGATCTAGGCTGAGGGGCAAACGTGTCAGTAATCGCTGCCTGGTGGGGGACGGTGCTATCTCCTTGTGGAGGAAAACACCTCCATCGTGTAACACTGCGGTACCAACGAAGGTAAGCTCCATAATAACTCCCATCGTCTGGAGGTGTCTGAAGTGCCAAGTTATCAGCTGCGTGCTCCCACTCTTGTACCGTCGGCTGAACCGTGGTCACAATAACTAGCTCGTAGGAAAGCCCGAGCCCCTTTCTGGAGTACCTGCACAACAACAAATTCACACATCAGAAAAAATGTTGTGCAGTGATTTATTTTAAAAAATGTAGGATTAAACAACTGTAATGTGAACTAACCTATGAAGACTATCAGCCAAAGGACGACCATCTCTCGGAGGGAAGTCCTGATACATGCCCAACTGTTTGAGAACCCTGTGGACATTGTGTGGCTCGACGTGCACGTCCACCACGAGGTGACAAGTCGTCATCCAGAGTTGCATATCTCGCGTGCAAAGATCCGCGAGACCGTGCGGTGCACGATCATTGACATCGTGCTGAGTGTAGGGAGTCCACCGAACACGGTCAGGCGTAAGCTGATCAAAGTCAGCTACAAACTGAGTGTAGACACGACGTATCGTCCCGCTAACCCACTGCGGCTGTAACAAGTAGTAGTTTTCATTAGTCATATAAGGAAAGTTTGTGAACTAGTATTCATAATGATAACATAAACGAATTTAACAAAAAATACCTCACGGTGTGTCCACAAGGATCCCATAGTGGGACGATCGTCGATGTCATCAACACCAGACCTGTACATCTCTCGCAAACCGTAGTTTGCGTACGAGTCAAGCTGAGGCCTCCCAATGTCGAAGCGCTCGTGCGCCCACAACATAAGTAGCAACGGGCATCCAGGGAGTGAACTTTGCTTGCTGTTCCTCACGCAAGCATCACACAGTCCGGCATATGTCGCCGCAAGTACCGCCGACCCCCAACTGTACTGTGGAATCTCCACGATAGGTAACTCTGCAATCTGCTCCGCAAAGTGCATGAAGTGCTTGTCCACGGAGTCAGCGTGAGTTCCCGTGAACATCACCCATCCAAACAACCACAACAGGTAAGCGACTAAGTGTCGCTGCACGATCCACTCCTCCTGGTCATCAGGGAAGACATCCTGTCGAAACTGATTCAACCAACTTTTCGTAGGCCCGTGCCCATCTGTGAGATCCTCCAGTGCAACAGGCAGCACACCACCAAAACTGGCTAGAAGGTCATCCGCCCATCCAGCATTCACCATTGTTGGGCCAACTGCTTGCCCAGCTATCTGCAGCCCCAACAAATAAGACACATCCTGCAGAGTGGGCACCATCTCTCCAACTGTGAGGTGGAAAGTGTGGGTCTCAGGCCTCCATCTATCCACAAGAGCACTCAGAAGCGCCGCGTCAATGTGGATTCGTTCGGATCTTGCACGTGAAGGCTCGACCAACCGTGCAAATGTCAACAACCCAGCTGCTCACAGCCTACAACATGACAGAGCGCAAGTTATTAATACATGAAAATATAAACACCTTGTATTAGTAAAAACAATATATTTTCACACACCTTGAAACCCAACGAGGATCAATACGCCAATATTGATCCGGTCCTCGCATCTTTAGCACATTGCAGAAAGTTCCTGTACTAAGACGTCGCGATCGATGGTTCCTATCGATCTCCTTGTCTATCAGCTGCCCATCATATTGATCAGCCATACCTGCAGATCGAAAACCACATTAGTACAATGCACGTATGGTAACAGTACAGTAAATGTATGCAACATAATTCAAGTAACAAATTTGCATGCCATTTCAATTTAAAATTACAGTACCAGCACACATAGATACAGATAAGAACAGTTCAGTACATTTCAATTTAAAATTACAAGCCCACGACACATATATTATGATATTACAAGTGCAGCGCAGTTCGAAATTTAAATTACAATTCCAATACAAATACATGACGATATTAAAAGTGCAGTGCAGTTCAAAATGAAAATTACAAGGCCATTACAAATAGATTCGGGTAATAAAAGTGCAAGAAAGTTCAAATTAAAATTACAGACGCACTAAACATAAATTGAACGATAACGATCTTCAAAGTAGGGAGTCCACCAAGGATAATAGCGAACTAAGGATTATTTTTCTTCTTCGACTTCCCCTTTGGAACGCGACGAACATCAACGCCTGTGGCATCTTGCCCTACATTGTACATGCTGCAATCTTTACGGGAATGGTTCTCCCCGCAAAGAATGCAAGCTTTCTTACGATGAGAACGATCTTTCACTTCAGCTTCATCCATAAGGTTCTTGATCCTGCGAGATTGGCGACGACCCTTAGTATCAACTAATAAATTTTAGTCAGGAACCCAATTGGCTTGCCCTGGAGGAGGACGAGTGAAATCACACACGGCACGCCAACCACGCAATTCACCACGCCAAGTTGCCTCCCACGATTCCTTTCTAAAGTAGGGAGAAACAAAAATGTTTCCATCAACACCCCCTTTTGCGGAAGCAGCAAGAACATGGGAACATGGCCAATGTAACAGGTAAGGCTTGTTGCAATTGCATTTGCAAGCGTGATACTCTGGCCACAACGTGCATTCCAATGTGATGTCAGTAGTCCCAATGCCGACACCACTCTTGTCAGGAAGTCGTATCTCAAATAACAACTCTCTATTCCCAGCAGGCCACACTCTGTGGATTCCTCCCTTCGTACTTTTCTCATCCATGTACTGTGTAATAGCGGGGCTATACTTAACACTGGGTTTGCTGAGGTTCAGACTAGCCATGGAATACCTTTTACAGAGATACTTCTGTGTACCCCTCGTGATGCCCTCCAGGATAGCAACAAGTGGTAGAGGTCGTGTATTCTTCATAACCCAGTTATACACTTCAGCAAGATTTGTTGTCATCACACCATACCTCGATCCATCTGTATCGTACAACAACGACCATTTCTCCCTTGGCTCAAATTCTACCCACTCCGTGAAGCACTTCGTGGCCCTTCCACGCTTCCTGCGCCGAGTAATACTTGGTGCTTCATTAGGAATGGGTTCAAGTCCCTCCGGCTCCTCCTGTCTGGCAACTATAGGTTTTTTCCTAACCTCTTCCATGTGTGTAGTGGTCAAACGATCCAGTTGATCCCATATGGCATCAAACTTTCTTTGTTGATTCTGCTTGCATAACTTCTTGAACAGGTCCATCAATCTCTTACTCCTGAATTGTCTATAAAAATTAGCCCCAAAATGTCGCATGCACCATCTGCTATGTAAATCTGGCCATGGCACGGACTGTGTGACATCTTCTTGAAGCTTCTGTATCGCTGATAGCAAACCGGCGTGTCGGTCATGCAGAACACACACATTTGGTCTGTTTTCAACAACACACATTTTAATGTGCCGCAAAAACCATAGCCAGCTTGATGTGTTCTCGCTTTCAACAAATACAAAAGCAACAGGAACGACATGGCTATCCGCGTCGACTCCGATCGCGGTTAGAATTGTTCCTCTGTACTTGCCTGTCATGAAAGTGCCATCAACACAGAGCAAAGGAATGCAATTTCTAAAGGCCTCTATCATGCACCCAAATGACCAGAAAGCCCGACGAAGAACATTCTCCCCATATTCATTCACCTCATCGAGAATAGCCATGTGTGTGCCCGGGTTTCTTGCCTGCATCACCTCCAATAGTGAGGGAAGATTGTGATAAGAATCCTCATAAGTTCCAAACCTCATCTCCAATGCTTTCTGTTTTGCCCTCCAAGCCTTGTCGTACGATATCTCATATCCGTACTCTTTCTCAACGTCATGCATTATGGTGAAAGGGGACAAAGATGTTTTTCTAACCACCTTTGAATATACCATTTGTGCCACAAATGCCGCTGTCAGGTTTCTGTGCACCAGACGGGTATTCTCCAACAAACACGTATGTTGCTCAACCCTCGAAGCTACCCATAAAGTGTCATGTTGTGGCTTGTAACCATGCACTCTCCAAGGACATCCACCCTGTATGCACTTCACGTCATACGTCGTCCTATTTGAAACCTTCACCCTGAACTCACGCTTCTGGACAAATGCCCACCTCTTCAGCGCATCTTGTAAGTGACCTCTGTCATGAAACATCTGTCCAACTTTCACCTGCTTACTATCGTAACACCAGTGGGCATCTAAATCATCGTTTACCTTCGTACGACTCATTGATATGGTCGTCCAACCATCGGGTATGTTAGTTTCGTTGTCCCACAGTGTTGTATCTTCTCCTTCCACTACAAGCGCAAGGTATTCCTCGTTTTCCACTTCCATCTGATCCACTACCGCCTCATTCTCCTCCGCTGCATCAACACGCATAGGCGAATCCGGTTCTTCATCGTCCGAGTCGTTGGCCTCACGATTAGTACCACAAACAATGACCTCTCCTTGTGTATTACCCTCTACTATTTCTTCCCCTCGACCTTGCTCAGTCCGCCAAACATTTTCAGCTTGTCCACCTTCCAACGGAGTTTCTTCCACCACGGCATGACTTGACTCCCCCGATCGATCAACACATGTTGTCTTCTGCACCACTATTGCCAGGCTATAGCCTTTCTCCCTTACTTTACTAACAAACTTCCTCCAACTCCCAGTTGACGCAACCTCCACTACTCTCCACTGCCATCCATGTTGACCCCTCACTGGCCACACGGTATTTATGACAAATTTATCGTGCACTGGATCTACCCCAAACATATTATACAACCACCCTAACACGTCGTTCAAACCCATATGCTCCGGTGCATTCAGATTAGTATCATGGAAGGCATATACAGTCAAATCCACCCCGCTATCACATATTTGTATAGGAGCATCGCCATAATACAGACGAATGGGCATATCACCTGACATCCTGATAAAACATGACAAATAGTCTCACGTTTAATCATTTAATCATTCGATAATTACCCTATTACAACTTATACTACATTGCCGTGTACTAATTTACAACTATTAGTAACAAACAACTAGTTTAATAATCCAAATAAAATATAACACCTTTGTACCTATTTTAACACACAACATATCAATAATATGTACTAACTAATAACTAATTTAACCGTACAATTACTTAGATACCTCTACCAACATTTAGCAATAACAAATATGTGCTAACCATACATACTAACATCGAACAATGCGAAACAATTAACAACTCTTAAACCAATTTTTTATTAAACTTTCATATGCATTGTACTTAGGGATTACTAATGTATACCTTAACTTCACTGCTGGAGGGCGTCGCCAACCCTTTCCTCCCGGCCGGCGCCTCCTCGGCCTCCTCTCCAGCCTGCTATCCCCTCCCCTCGCTCCCTCCGGCGCTCACGGCGACGATGTGGCGACTCTCGGCGGCGGCTGGCGATGTGGTCCTCAAACAAATCGAACTCGCGGCCTGGGTGGATGGGGCTTTAAGCCGGCCTGTCGAACGCCCATTGTTCGACAGGGTCGGTGGAGGGCCCTATCGAACGCACCCGGTTCGACAGGTCTCGCGGCGCCGGGTGGTGGGCCCTGTCGAACTCCCTCCGTTCAACAGGTGAGCGTGTCGAACGCCAGCCGTTCGACAGGGCTTTGTCGACTGCCCGTCGTTCGATAGGTGCCCTATCGAATTGCACCCGTTCGACAGGGACCTACTTTCGCGATTTTCCCCGGTTGGCCACTACTTTTGCGATTTTCCATAAAAATAATATTAATTCTCAAAAAAATTCAGGACTTAATCATCTTCTCATCAGCTTTAATGTACTTAAGAGTCTGAAGGCAGGTCATATTTTCAAGCCCCACTGGAACTGGAATCGCTGTACAAGGGACTCCAAAAGTGATATCTGCAGATTGCCGTCTAAACAGTATCAGGTGACGCAGGTTCTTGAGCTTTGTTATGCTTTTTGGTAATCTCTGTACCATGGACCACTTAGGCTGTGTTCGTTCCAGTGACATTGGGTGAGAAAGCTCCTCGTTTTCCGCGCGCACGCTTCCCAAACTACTAAACGGTGCGTTTTTTGCAAAAAATTTCTATAGGAAAGTTGCTTTAAAAAATCATATTAATCCATTTTTGCAATTTAAAATAGTTAATACTCAATTAATCATATGCTAATGGCCCACCTCGTTTTGCGTATCTTCCCAATCTCTCCAATCCCCTTCTCCTCAAACACACCCTTAGCATCCAAAGTTTGTAGGTTTTGTAATTGACCCAACTCCCGTGGGAGCTCTTCAATTAGAGTGGAACGGATTCCAAGATACCGCAGATTAACAAGATTGGCCACTGTGCTAGGTAGTTTATGTATCTGAATGAGCCATAAGTTCAGCATGGTTAATAACCTAAAGCCAGACAAGAGTGAAACATCGAAATCTGACCTGAATGCTTGGAAGGAACGAAGCGATGCTGTCTTAAGAACTGGCAGATAATCACTTGTACATTGGTCGAGTACAACATGGCGAGCTTTTCTGCTTGGCTCTAATGTCACTGTGCGCTTTGAGACTACAAACAATCTCTCCTTTGTTGACCTGTGAACAATCAATTCCCTGATCAGGTCGTGAATACGGCATAGCTTGGCACGTCCAAACTCGTTGTGCAGTACGACATGCAACAGGCTACGTTGCACTAACTGGTTCAGGTAATCATCTGCAACCTCCTCCATTGTGCCCTGCACCTTTTCCTCAATCAAACCTTCAGCTATCCACTTCCTGATCAGGATCTTCCTTTTTAGCAAGAAATCCTCCGGGTATATATTGCAATACATAAGACATATCTTGAGGTGGTGTGGCAGATCATCAATGCTCAGATTCAGTATGCTTGACACTTGACCAATTCCATGGTCACTGCTTCCATACCACACAAGGCTGTCATGGACGTTCTTCCAGGCAAACAATGTTCTCTCCTTCAACGCGAGCAGATTACCAACAGATATAATGGCCAATGGCAGACCATAGCATCTTTCAAGAATCTTAGTAGCCAAATGCTTCAGTTGATTTGGGCATTCCTGGTCTGCGTCTTCCTTGAACGTGGTTTTACAAAACAAGGACCATGCTTCCTGCTCAGAGAGCGGCTCTAACCTGATGATATTGTCGGATGATGCCAGAGAAGCGACCTCTTGACTGCGTGTGGTGATGATTATCCGGCTTCCTGTTCCATCATCGGCAAAAGCTTCGCGGATCTCGTACCACGCACGTGCATCCCAGACATCATCCAGCACAAGCAAGTATTTCTTGTTGGAGAGGTGCCCACGCAAAGCCTCGACCAGTGACCGGTAGTTCATCTTGTCCACGTCCCACGGCATGCCGGCAAGGACGTCCCGGTGAAACTCCTTGGCGATTCTTCGAAGGAGGTCTTCCGTCGTGAAGCTCTTGGAGACAGTGACCCACGCGTGGCAATCAAAGTGGGAGCTCGCAGCAACTTTCTTGTACACGTTTGTGACAAGAGTTGTCTTGCCAACTCCGCCCATGCCACAGACTAAGAGCCGCATACGCTGGGGATCAGCATCCCCGGTCAGCCATTTCATCAGTAACCTTGTATGCGCCGCGAAACCAACGATCTCATCCTCCTCTACGAAGTGTGACCTCTCTGCTAGCCTCCGGCCGATGACCGCCACGGGGTCTTCGCCTTCACCAGCAGCAGCCGAGATGGAGGCCTGGGCAGCAGGACGGATGCCGTACTGCTCCTTGGTGGCCGAGAGCTCGCGGAGCCTCTCCCGCGCCACCCGCAGCCGCCTGGAGAGCGTGAGCCAGGCGGCTACGTTAGCGCAGCGGCGGCGCAAGGAGGTGTGGCCGGAGAGGAAGGTGTACTCGTCCGCGACGTCCTCGAGTTCGAAGGCAACGTCGCGTACCTGGTCAACCCAAGCGTCGGCGAGCGCGTCGCCGCCGCCGTGCCGGGTGTCGACGAAGCGGAGGAAGGCGCGGAGGAGCTCGAGGTCTTGCGCCGCCGCCCTGATGCCTGAGGGAATCCCGGCGAGAGAGCAGAGCTTGATGGCCACGGGTCTCGACAGCGCGCCGGCAACCTTTGCCGAGAGGGAGACGGCGATCATCTCCGCCATGGTGCCTGACAACCTTCGGAAATTGGAGAACCGGAGATTTGAGAAATGCTCAGTTGGGATTTTTGGGAAATGGAACTATGCAATGGAGGTGAGCACAAAGGCCACCGCCTTATAAAAAAATTTACTAGTCAACGGTTTGGTAGGTTGTCAGAAATTGCTCACAGGCCATATTATTCATGATATAATCATATTATTTTTACATAATCAGGTGCTTCGAGGAATCTAATCAATTCAATTTTTTAAATTTAACTAATTAGCCTCTTACATTTTTAAACAACGTAGAAATACTTCTTGACAAGTGTGTTGTTGTCTGGAAATGATAGGGATCGGTCCACCGGGCCGGGGAGCAACCCCCCCACCCCCCCCTCCGCCCCCGCCCTGCGCGCGCGGCCGCGTGTATATGCCATTGGGCCCCACCACAATCCCTGTCCTTACCTACAACAAATCACCCACATATTTTGGAAATCCTCTATTAAGGGAATTTGGTTTATTTTTTGTTCCACCAAAAATGTTTCATCTAGTGCACTCACAATGTTTCACTATGTATAGATCTAATGTTGCAGTGAACTGAAATACTCCATTGCAACAAATCACCCACATATTTTTGAAACCCTCTATTAAGGGAATTTGTTTTATTTTTTGTTCTACAAAAAATGTTTCACCTAGTGTACTCATAATGTTTCACTATGTATATATCTAAGGTTGGAGTGAACTGAAACATTCTTTCGCTATTTGCTGAAACATTGTTTTTATATAAGGTGAAACAACACTCAATTTAAACAAGTGAAATATTTTCGATCTACTTAGCAAAACAATTCCGATATACCTGGTGAAACATCGTACAATATTTACAAAAAATTCAATAATAAGCTAAATTTTTTTCAGCGGAATATATCCATGTGTGGTCTTGTTTTGAAGATTTAATTGCAATGAATGGTGCAATCGGATCATGATTTGGATACGTAATGTAAGAGAAAAATCAGTTTAAAGTAGTTTTGCATGTAAATTCGGCGCCGATGTCATGCTAACGTCAGCGCCCGATATTAACCTCCTCCCGTCGGGCGCCCGAGCCGAAGTTGCGTCCATTGTTGTCAATACATACATAAAGAGTGAAATACATGTCCGACCCTTAAACTTGTGTGGTGGTGTTATTTATCTCCATGAACTTGAAAATTACATATTTAGATCTGTTACCTTGGTTTAATGTACCACCCCTGGTCCAACCATCCTTTGACTGTGTTTGATCGCCAACGTGACGTGCCACACAGGAAACCCATTTGCGCTCAACCCTCTCCGCATATACCTTCTCACATAACTTACCCTAACTAGCGCATTCCAACTCAAATCCCACACAATATCCCCAAATCGGCTAGGTTTTCAAAGGTGAGGTTAACGGCAAGAGGTGGCGAGGTAGTAGCTATGGTGGGAATCGTCAAAACAAAGCAGTGTTGTTCTTGAAATCGAACTTGGATCTTGGGCCTTGTAATAGACTAGGCCCATGTCGAAAGTGTCTCCCTCCACCTCCATGAATTAGAACACCCTAGATTTATTTTCCTCTCTAAATAGCTTTGTACACCCTAAAAACAATTGGGTTTTGTTTAGTTTAATTTTGCCACTCACCTTGTGTCTATTCCTCGCTCGATTAGTCGGCGACTATAGATCCAGAGCTCTCAATAGTTGGTGTGTTGATTTCTCGGGTCGATTAGATCTACCATTTCAATCGTAACTATTCCTTTGTACTTAATTGCCTATTCACAATATTTAGATTGCATCTTATCTTGTTTTTGCAGTGTTCTCTCATTTGCATTGCAGCGATCATCAACCGCACGTCACTGTTGGTACGACATTGTTGGTGGTGTAGCGATTGCACGATGTCCTAGACTTGTTCTCTTTTTTTTACACGGATACGGACTTGTTCTGGTTGGTAGCCAAGTCACAAACATCGCACTCGATCAAAGCGAGAGTTCTCCCCTCACCAGAAGATCGGGCCATAAGAAAGAGCGTCATCATGGACATAGTTCCATATTTATTAACTAATTAACATTGCTAGAGAAACCCTTTTAAATCTCGGTTCGTAACCCCCCTAGTCCCGGTTGCATAACCGGGACTATGAATTCAGGACTAAAGATTGAAATCTTTAGTCCTAGTTGAAATAACCCGGACTAAAGATGGATCTTTAGTCCCAATTGGTAACACGGTGTTTTTTTTTCTATTTTACATATCTCACGCCCGATTTCTCTAAATCATTTAAAAAACATCCGAAATCATCCACAACAACATACTCATTCTCAAATCACAACAATATACTCATTCTCAAATCACAGATCGAATGAACAAATTATTTTCAACAAACAATCATTCACAAATTAACAACGAAAAAAGAAAAAAAATCCAGCCACCGTTGGGCTATTGACGGTCGTTATAGACCAATTTCGACCATCGATATAACTAAAATAAAGGAGAATTAGCTATGCTTGCAATGCATATTTTGTTTTAGAATTATCAATTTTCACTTGTACTTGGATTCTATCTATCTATAGAGAAAGAGATACAAAATGGAAGGAGAACCGACAACAAAACACCTGAACAATCCATCAGATGCTGTCAAGAATTAGACTTGTGGAGGAATGGGCCAGAAACTCAGAAATGACACAATCAAATGGGCCCATAATTCGTTGTTCTGTGTTCAGAAGCAGAAGAGGAGACGGCTTGCCGAGTAATGGGCTGGTTGGCCCAACCTAGGGTTCGGCTGAACTAGTCCCATCGCCATTTGATCCAGGGCTTTGATCAGACGGTGGGAATTCACTCCCAATGGGGGTTGGAGAGTATTACCGACCTTTCCAACCACCACAACCGTCATTCCTCACGCTATAAAAGGGCTTCACCTCCTCCACTCCTTCACACACTCAAGCAAGCTTCAATATCTCTTCTACACTTTAGTTTAGTATTCTAGTGCTAAGTGGAGTAGAATAGAATAGCATCTTGGAGTCCTCGGAGTCTTCGGAGGAATTTCGGTATGGTTGTAATAGCTTTACTTTTTTCTTTTGTAAGACTTTCGGAATTAATGAAATATTTTTTTCATATGCTCTTGATACTTTTGTTAATCTAAGTATTGTCTTTACTTTATATCTATATCAGTACAGCCGTATAGTTAGCTTACCAGAGAGGTGTAGTGGTAAGGTTTAATGTCCGATTATTCGGTTGCTCTATGTCATCTCGAGGGATGTAGAGTAGTATTTAATAATGTAGACATGGTGTCTAGATTATTAAGTATCATTATCTGGGTTTATATGCTACGGGTCAGTCGAGGTGGGCCGCTGATGGTGACAGCTTCGTACGAGTATTTCTCCACTATAGTGTATAATCCTAAGAAACTTTCCTAGGGAGGGTACTCCTCCGTATTTAGCCCCGGTTGGATGGCCATGACAGGTTGTCGTAAGAAACTCGGCAATCCGGGGTGGTCTCTCGAAACACCAGGAGTACACAGTTAGGGGGTATTGGCTATATGGTTGTATACTAGCGGATGTAGACTAAAGTTGAGTGTATATTAGAATTATAGGAATTGATTGTTTTTCTATTTCTTCTTCCACTTTGTTTAGAAATGATTGAATGAGATATATGAGTGCTTTGTTTCGTGTCACTCTACCTATATAAATATTTAACCCTGCTTAGACTTTGATTATGTAAGTGCCATATATATATAGGAAAATGGTTCTAGGAGTCCTAGGTAGTACATACTCCCCCTCCCATCCACCGTTCATCTGATCAATCAGATATGAGTACTCCCTCACTCATCATAACAGGTTTGTCTCGGTGGATCCGATAAATTTTTCTAATTAAAATATGTGCGGAATAATTCAGGGCGAAATTATCAAATTAAAATTTCCGTGTGGCTCGCAACAGACCGAACTGCTTATCGCAAAATTTGGGGTTTTGGGGGGCGGCGCGGTGACAGACCAGCGATTCAACGGCGACTGGGTGGCTGGCGGCAGTACAGAGAAGTGTGCTCTTCTCCAGCGATGGCTCCTCCCCTTCCTCAAGCGATGGCTCCTCTCTTCACAGTCTGCGTCAGTGAAGCAGAAGTAATCGATCTGGAGACGATGCCATCCGTTGGTGTCCCAGGAGGAGAGGTCATTGATCTGGAGTCGGCTGAATGCAGGAGCATGGCAACCATGGCAAAATCGATGGGTCATAGCAGTAGGTTAGTATTCGTTTATTTTGTACGGCAGGATTCAGGAGTCGGAAGAATTCCGGAGTTGTCGGTAATCTTCTCCTATTTCTTTTATTCTCTTTATTACTCTGAATTCAATATAATATTCTTCTTGAGTAATTTATATTTATCTCGTGAGAATTATCTCTTGGTTAGTTCCTAAATAGCATATGGGATTATTGTTCACTATAAGCAACTAAAATATAGTGATTGCTTTGGTGAGTTATAAACACTAAAGTAGATAGTAATTGCTTAGACGTGGTGTTTAGGTAATTGTTATCCAGTAATTGCTACGTATCCCACAGTACGTTGAGGTGAGTGTAGAGGTGGTGATAGCCCTCGAGATCACTGAAGTCCTCCCTGTCCGGGTACATAGTAGAGCGACATCTGGGAACAGCGGGTTGCCAGTGCCTGAAGTATTGTGTTAGGATTAAAATTAAGCTTTCCCTAGACACTGTTTCTCACTAGTAAATCCTCTCTATCCTTGCCTATCATTTGCTTGGTGTCCTTGGATGAACCGGAGGAAGCTCTGATCACACACGTTCCCTTGGATTCGATACCCTTGTAATACTCCGTAGGGGAAGTGCTACATCGGTATATCCGTGCGCTTGCGGATTTTATCTGTAACCGTATCAAATACCAATACACTTCACCTTCGGGTGACCCCAAAAGGATATCGAACTCAGGGAACGTGTGTAATCTACCTAAGGCTAAGACTATCCAAGGACAACATCTAATGGTAGGCAGGCTAAGAGGACTCTCTATGTGTTTTATTTATCTAAGCTAAGCAAAGGTAATTCCCTATCTGTTGCTTCGGGCACCGACCCCTATTGGTCTGCCAGCGTGGTTCCGGCTATAGCTCCATGAT